TGTTATCTCTTCTTTGGTTTTTGGGGAGAGTGTGAAAAAGTGAGGCTGTCAATTATGATATATCAAGCACTACAGTCAGAAATGCCTTACAGATCAATAAAATACACTTCGGTGTATGTCTTTGGAGTGTTTCAAGAGATAACTCACATGGAGGCCAGCAACAAGAGAAAAGATCCACTGTGATTTATTTGGCAGCATCCAAAGGGCTTGCAATCCAGGTGGAATGAAAGGGAGCACCTCTACTGCATTTTGGAAGCTTCTTTCTGCTTTAACTATCCTTCTTTTGCTGTTTCCATCACCTATTGTCATCAGGTCTTCTAAAGGACTATATCTGTGAGCCTCCAGTCCTGTATTCCCAGAACAGCGCTGCATCATTAGTCCTTTTGTTCTTTGGCTTCCAGCTTCTTGGAGTCAACAGCTGCAGGACCCTCTGATTCTTTAGAACACAGAGGCCACTGTGAACTCCCCATCTCTGATTCTGCACGCCTGCGGAGTACACCACCTTGGGAAGTTCTATACTGATTCTGCTCCTCTAGAGGATTTTAATTTATACAAAAATGATTCATTGCAGTTTAAATATTCTGTAGAATTCAACCTTAAATCTGTCACTTCCTGAGATTTTCTTGATAGTAGACATTTTATTACTGATTGAATTTAAATATCTATGCTATAAATCTGTATGTTTAATTGGTCTCACATATTTCAAGAAGAAGTGAATTTTAAATTAATATTATTTTCTTATGAGTAACATGATTCCAAAACATCATCTAGCCAATCATTAGTTTCATCAATTCACTAATTTCATAACTAGAATCCTTATCTATTTATCTCCCATTTCCAATCCTGTATTGCCGGAAATTATATTTGGAGTGTCATATTTATTATTGTACTGAGAATTAAAAGTAACAATTTAACATTTATGAAATTAGGAGATATCAAAAAAGGCTAACGTATGGATCCAATTCGCAAAACTAATGTGTACTTACCACTATTTTTGTTTCATTTCAGTACATGATAATTGTAACATTTTTGCAGATAACTATAGTACAAGGAGAAAGTCAGAAGAATTTACATTTGAATATTCAAAAAATAACATCTGTCTTCAGTAAACTGATGACACTCTTCTGCTTAAATCAACTTTGCACTGAAATTTCCATATTAATTCAGGTGCACAGCAGGCAATAAAATGTTTCACTTAGTTTAATCTTAATGAATGGGAGATTTCATTTGAACTCACCTTTCAGATGATCATTTAAAAGTTGAAATGGTAACTGTATGGAAGAATATTATTTTAATGGGATTAAAGATATTGGGGTAAA